CTACGTCCATCTAGCGGAGGTTTTTCGACCGGTAAACTGCCCCTCACCGTGTCGTACAGGTACAATTCGTGAGGTGCAAAGGATGACCAGCCACAATTCGAGACACCCATTTGACTATGGATGATATTGAGGGGTAGCAAATATATTACGTGTGCCAAATAACGGAAAGATTGAAATATTAGTTGGACAGATAGAAGAAACAGTTGAGTTTTGTTTCCTCCAAAAAGCAGAACTATTTTAATCAAACGGTAATTCGGATAACAGTACAGAAGGATTTTACCTTATTTTGAAGTGATCAGTTAAATTCACAAGTTTATTGTGATATACAGAACTAAATGAAGTGATCATAAAGAAGATACTCACATGTTCCAAAAGGACTTTTCTTAAAGCAGGCCAAATTTCTTTTATGTACTTCTCTCGATACTTTGGAAAAAGAGTGGCATATGAAGAAGCAGCAAAAAGACGACCATATGGATTGTCTTCCGGCTTGAACTCGGGTTCTTTCCAATCTTTTGGCACTTCAACATATTCTTGAGCAGGAATATCTTTAAATATTTCTTCCTCTGACGAAGAAAACAGTTGAAAGATAAATGAACTTACTGTTCTTTGAAAACGCTTTGTACGGAACCCATCCCTGAATATCTGGGAAGTTTAAGGATTGTCGCTTGGTTTTTTTCACCATTAAAATTCGCGTAACTCACGGCGCTAAATGACAACAAATGCATGCAAATATTTAGGCATAACAATAAAAAAAACAGGTGGTAACAAACGAGCCTTCTCGCAACGAAACCCTAAATGCATACGATTATGAAGGTCAAAACCTGGGTCAACGGGCTATTTTGAATTTACGTATGCAAGCGCGAGGAGCGGACTGGTCGCTTGTGCATCTCCTATACTTTTATCCTCTGCAAAATTCTGAAACATACATTTCTTCCGTGAGCACACCCCTCCTAGCCCCTAACCTAAAAGCTACCTTCAAATAAGTCCATTTCACTGTACTCTATACTCTCCTTGCACACCAGAAGTTATTTGTTTAATGCTACACCGGTAAATGAATAATCAAAGCCTGGTTCCAGTTGGAGGCTGTTCTTAACTCGATATAATCATGGGAAGCGGTGTTCTTTACGGTTGCTTCTCTCTGTATTCGATTGTGTCAATACTGCCGGGCAGAAAGTTGTCTCAGAGTTCAATTTTTGCTTTTTTATTACTCAACCTTGTACGATGAACAGTAGAGGGGATAAACCCACGATCGTAAAGAACTGTTCAGTGATGAAAACCAGAAACCTTAGCTCCGAGACTTGTGGCGAACCACACAGGGCCCTAATAACAACACTGCTGAATGAAGCTACAAGAGAGTTGTGTCACTGGGCTATGATCTTCAGCACATCTCCTCAGACAATCATCATCATTGTGCAGCGAAATACGGTAAAGCGAACTTCACTGATCGCTGCCGAATTCATAATGCATGAGAATGTGTAGTTCTGCTTCAGTAGGAGGTTTGCACGGTACTGCTCAAGGAGCCTCAACTACAACAGAGGATACAGTCTGGTGAGCACTTGACCAGCTGAACTGCTCGGTGAAGTATTCCGCTCACTGGTCAAGCTGTTGTTCCCTACTGTGAACAGCTTGTTCACTTTTGTCAAAGATTGTTTCGCTAACTATGGTTCGCCGACCTCCCGTGTTGCGTATCACTTGGAACAGTCTTCGACTATTCCCTAATGCAGCTGCCACTTCCATTTCACTAGTTATTGTTGCCCACAAGTTTTCACGGTTATTCTTGAAAATCTTCATCAGCAGACAACACCTACTGCTGCTCTGGGACCGAGCGGTTGGGATTTGCCGCTTTTTCTCTGTTATTGACTCATCGGATATCCAATGCCTCGGTCGGGCTACCGCTTTAGATTTACAAGCAACCCTCGCTGCGGAGTGCATTGCTCCTCTAACCTGATCCGATTTTTCATCTAAACTACCAAGCTGCAGCGCGTTTAGCTCTTGCCCTAGTTCTAATTCAAAACGGGCACGAACGGCTTGGTCAGGTAAACATTTATCTGCCAATGCAGTTTGGTGGGGTCTTCTCTGACCGATGAGTTGGAGAGTGAACTGCATCAAAACTAATGCGGCGTCAGAACCAAAGCAAGTGGTCCAACAGGATCTACAGTTTTGTACTGGGTCACGCCAATGGTAGCTTACTACTATGTGGTCGATTTGATTTAGCGTAACAGTTGAAATGGAGCACCACATCTGCTGAGAGCTGTGTCCGAAGTTTGGACTGGATAGGAACAGATCATGATCTGTGCAGAACTGAGGAGTCGATCGACGTCATCCGTTCGTTGGCAAGGCAGAGCATAACTACCGCCCAGGCAAGCTACCGATACGCTTGGTTTTCTAACCTGCGCGTTAAGATCACCTGCGAGAACAACTATATAGGAGCTATGGAGATTTTGTTATACTTTGAATCTTTATACCACGGCATCACCGTTCACTGATGTAGATTTTCTACCTTTCTATCACAGCCGATGTACCTATCTTGTTAGAAGATTAAATCCCCGTTTCCGGCTGTCCGTTTTCTCTCTCGTTCGTCGCTCAATCATTCGAGTTCAGCACAGGAGCTTCGGCTCTACCGAATGAGTTCAGAGAGTTTATGATAAAACTCTTCTCGTGTGTCAGAACTGCAGGTGATCGGTGCATACGCTAAAAGGATGAACGAACACCTTTTGATGTTGCTTCCCTTTCGGACACTGACAGACCCTCGCAGCCGCATCGCACATATGCGACTGTTCACAGGGATCCAATCGGCTGTATTACTGAGTACAATGCCCATGCCACACTGGCCTACTGCACGGGTTTCGTCGTCATCTGACATGCGAAATAAGTACCTCGAAGACAACTCCGGTGCATTTAGGTGGCTCATAGAACTAGCATCCTCAGTTCGCATCTCCGATACGTAACAAATGTCGATTCCCAAAGAGTCCATTGTACGCGCCAGATACGCTTATTGACCCACGTGCATCAACGCCCTCATGCTGAAGACCCCCAGATTCCGTGATTGACGAGGCTTTAGAATCTGCAATCCTTTTCGTGGTAAATTACTTACAGTGCTACTTGGCAACGAACTTTGGCGAGCGGCATCCAAGTTTTGTGGGAGGGCTGGGTACGAAAGACAAAGAATTAAACAAAGAAAACAAAGTAGCGAAGAAGCTCGTTTGCGGTAATTCTTCTACAGGCTAATACACCACAATTAATATGAAACTGTTCGGAAGGGGGAGAAATCACGACAAGTTGGAAGAGAGGTAATCAACATTCCAGTTCCATGACCGGATGTGGCTTACACTTTGGTCCTCACATATGCGCACTAGTTAGAGTCATTAGGGGTGGGTGGAGGGATGACTGTGTCGGGTGATGGTGATGTTGGCCATGGAAGACCGAGGGTTCTTACGAATTGTTTTTGGAAGCATAGGGGAGGATTATGTAGGTGGATTGCGATCGCTTCCGCTGAGGCCAAAATGCGACTCATAATCCTCTTAGATCAGTGGGTGCAAACCAAGTAGAGGGGTCAAAACACCTCGGTCATATTAACTACGTGGTTTGATTCCACCAGATGTGAAACGATTGAGCTGTTATTTATTCTAATTAATTCACTGTTCAACCAAGCCGGGTGGTGCTCACGGACTTGTTCAGAAAAACGTCTGCTCGTGCGGCTAATATATCTTGCCCCCAGGGACAGGCAATTTATCTGAGTTGAAGAAGTAGCCTGGAGATGAACACAATACGCAGTTCTGCGGCGGGAAATGCGTTTTCTACAACTGTATTCAGCTGGCGTATCACCATATCGGCAGTTGTATCGCCCTTGAAAGGTAGCAATATCTAAATCGGTTTCTTCTCCGCAGTAGTGGTGTTATTTAGCAACCGGTGGCAACCCAAAATGTTGTCCAAAAATCGTTCTGGGTATCCAGTTTAGAGGAAAACATTTCGAATAAACCTCAATTATGTAGCTATGGTATCGTTCGTACATATTCTCCGAGCTCTGGTAGCGAGGCAATCAATCAGGTTTCTTTTCTGTTCCAAAGGCACATAGCTTTTGAAATGGATATAAATTGTGATGTATTAGCCTGTAGAAGAATCACCGCAAACGAGCGTGTTCGCTACTTTGTTTTCTTACAATGGGTATTGATGGTATATTCGAACATTTAAACAAAGGTTGGGATATCTGAGCAGTACCCAACGTACCACTACCAACCCCGCTCGATGGAATGGGCAGCGCGGTCCTGATTAACCTGCGCGACGACTGATGCAGTATGAAATTATTTTTAGTTTGTTTATGCATTTGGGTTTGATGGACGGATACTGATAGGGTGTCCAGCCACTAAGCAGGAGAAATATTAGGGTTCTCAACTAAAGTCTTTAGCTCTGGCAAGAACCCAACTGCAAGGCAGTGGGTGAAGCGAAGTGAAGGCCCATTTACTTGTATCGATTACTCCACCATATTTGCCGACTGAAACGCAAATTCTAGTCAAACCTCCAACCTGGGGCACCAGGAGATTGGACTTCGTCTGACTTCTACCATTCGACATTCCGGGTATGATTGGATCTTCGGCTTGAAAAAAGCCAGAGATACATAAATCACCACACCACGTCAAGGCGCAGTTTCGTCGTGATGGATGGCCTAAAATCATTTGTAATTACAACCCCTAGATTCTTTACCTCAGCGACATGCTGTGAATGCACCACATCTCTTGTTTCATCGTTGGCTCTTGTGCTCAAGATCTGACATTTACCTAGATTCATTGGTAAATTCATTTGACCACCTTCGGACAACTTCTAGGTATTGTTTCAACCCTTCCCCAGCTAATTTTATATCATCAGCGAACATACAACAATAATTTTGGAGGTCATTCGTAAGATCGTCAATGAAGATCACGAACAGTAATGGATCCAGTACCACTCGCCATCCTCTAAGTTTTGTTGTATAATTTTCAACAGTTACACTGAATCTACGACAGTCGAAAAATTGCACAATCCATTCTCTTGCTTCAGCTAATATCCCCAGCGCCTGAAGTTTTAGATCCAGAAGCTCATGACTAACAGAGTCGGAGGTTTGATGAAATTTAAATAGCAAACATCTACCTGGTCACATTCATCTATTATCCTTGTTACTTAGTCTACAAATGCCAGTGGGTTGGCTAGGCTGGATAATTTCGCGTAGAAACCATGCCGAGCTCAAGTCAGAAATCTATGCCTTATCACGTACAACCCGGTCTGCTTTCTATCTTCTCGAGGCACTCTCAGAAGACCGAATTGGAACTTACCGGCCCATATTTCAGGCCTTGTAACTGGGACCCGACTTGTGTCAGGCAACCATTGTCTTTTGATTTTTGCACCCTGGAAGCCTACTGATATGCATGAACTCCTCAAATAATTCGGTTACCGATCCCATTCATACACTTGCTAGTGACTGAATCATGGCGGGATGCAGTCCTTCCGGATTTATTGCTTTATGCCTATTTAAGGAGTTCAGCTCTCGGGTCACTTCCTTTTCACAGAGGATGAACTCTGTGATTTGCCCCCATATTCTAATTGAGGGGCAGAGTCTATGGTCTGTTCTCTCGTTGATGGCCGGTAAATTCACTTGAAAAGGGCGAGGAACGTGTTGATCTTTTCCTGATCAGTCGTGGCCATTATTCC